AATAAAAAATGAGCAGGGGTACGGATTTGATGTCGGTCAGTAAGCGACATAAAATGACTAAAAATAAATTAATTAAAAAATGATATGGAATTTTAATGTCAATACCCAACCATCACTACATATCTAGATACATGTTGATTGTTCGTGAATCAGCTTGTTTCTGTTCTCTTTTCTTATTCTATTCAAATTACATAATTTGGTCACTAGGAAAAGTAGTGCTGTATTTTACAATCTTCACTCTCTAAAAGTTGATCGTTGGCATTCTCGTCTTTTAATTGATAAAATTATGTAATCAAAATGTGTGGGAAAAATACATGTTGAAAAGTGCACTCAACATTATTTATGATGCTTACCACAAGGAGAGTGGAAATATCACTGTTCCAAATTCACTAAAAATGAAAAAAGATGTTTCCAGTCGTCGAGAAGTTTTTGAGCTCAAGGCTTATCGCTCGAGAAATAGGTATCTCTTATAGTCAATTATTTTGGGTATTATATCAAATCATGAAATGAGTTAATAATAGCTTCTTCAACACCCCCCTCCCCAACCAAATTCACTGGTATTTTGTTAAACGTGAAGATTGTGCTGATGTTTTGGATTGGATAGGAAGAACACAAAGAATAAACCAAGATTGTCCCGTTGCTTGAACGGGTGCGATTTTGACCCTGTAATATGCATCATTTCCAGAATTTTTGGTAGGATTATCTAATGTCTTATTTTTTAGCTTGTTTGGGTCAAATGCTTTCTGATTCATTGGTTTCTTTGCAGAGCTCAGGACTTGTGCATTATTTGAGCAGTGTGAGTTCATTTTAGATCAAGGTGTTGTATTCTATTACACTACCAAATGCCAGAATAATGCTGTTTCAATATCTTAAAGCATGTGATTGGTTATGTAGTTTGCAGTTATAGAATCTGAGAACGATGAGTTCATAAAATGATCAACCAGTCCTCAAAAAGTGGTCAGTATGGCTTAGTTTTGGAGCTTATCTTGTTTATTTTGAGGTATTTAGCTATTGTATTAGTGTATTGCTTTAGATTCTGACTATTGATTCAAAATTCCATAATAATATGATCTTTTGTTGGTAGTTTTTTTTCTTAATGTTCATTCTTCTCCAATCTGATTGTATTGTTTCTCGTTGAGCTCGTTATTTGTTTGTTTTGCCTTTTTCTTATTCCAAATATCATCTTGCATCAGTCTTTGAAGTTAAAACGTTTAACTTAATGACTCATAGTTTTCTATAAACCTTATTCCAATTATGTTCTTTCTATCTGCTTGGACTTGTGTATTAGACATTAGGTTATATTTAGAAATATTGTTCGGAATGATATTTCTATTGAATATAGGGATCTATATTAAGATCCACGATAAGTTGGAGATAATATTAATTTTCATGAATGATTACTCTCAATTGTGCAGGTGTAGGTGCATTCTTCTTCTCCCAGCTTGTGCATCACTCTCAATTGAAGGTGATGTACACGTACATCTCAAATTCTTGTATATTCACCTCAATAATTCATATTTGTCTTTTTTTTTTTTTACTTTTCGC